TTCATTACCTACAGCTGGGTCAGAATCTGAACTCTGGCTCTGTAATGAGCAAGTCACAATTAAAAAGTGAATGCATTAATTTGAAATCTTAATTAAATTTACCCTTGGAGAAATACTGCCCTAATAATGATCATTTAAAATATATTGGAAATGGGTTTTTTGTTTGGTTCTTTTTCCTTTTTCTATTTGCTTTGTTGGTTTTTTTTGTGTTTTGTTTTGTTTTGGTTTTTTTTTTTGAAGCCCTGAAGAGCATAAAGTTGAAGGAACAGACACTCACAATAGGACAAAACAATTCTGAGGCTTATTCTCCTCAGGGTGATAATACTATCACATTACAATAAAAAACTAGTTTAGATAATAGAAAATACATCTTAGATGTGACAGGATTTTTTTTCCCTTATTGTGCAAGATTACTGTAAGAATATGATGAACATGGCATTTTGATGGAATGACTCAATAAAAATTTGCTCAAAACAGCGTTCTTAGGTTGCTATTCCTTGCTCAGCACATAGTGTAGAAGCAGTTTAACTGTGAGGTTTCCCTTTCCTTGGGTTGAGGAAAGCGCCTTGGAGATCTGTGAATTCCACAGACTGCATCAGTAGTTGACACAAATTAATCCTTTTTAATTTATGAAATTAACTTATCTTCTTTGCAGCTTAAATATTGGAGTAAAAATAGTATATTAGAGGCTTTATAAAGTAAAAGAGTAACTATGTTTATTAAAAAAAGTCTTTACTGTAAGGGCGACAGAGCACTGGAATGGGCTGCCCAGAGAGGTTGTGGAATCTCCTTCTCTGGAGATGTTCAAAACCTGCCTGGATGCTTTTCTGTGCAACCTGCTGTAGGGAACCTGCTTTAGCAGGGGGTTGGACTGGATGATCTGAGATCCCTTCCAACCCCAGCGATTCTGCGATGTGCCTCAGCTTTTTGAACACTATGGTTCCAATATGCAGGTACGGTACATATAAGGGTATATATATGTGCACACACACATGCAGCCATGGCGCATTTTTTTATTTGTCAGATATGTCAAAACAGTATTGTAAATTATCAAAAAGTCATATTAGAGCTTTCTTTAATAATAAGAACAAACCTAACTTCTGTGCCTGATGGAAGTTGCTGGCATCTTTTCAAACAGGTTCTCTAATGATCTTGTTTCACCATGGCAACCAATATGGAGGTGCTGGCTCAGCAGGTAGTGGAGACTCAACAGGTGGCTGAGGTGAGTGACAGATGATATCACAACAGTTGGTATATGAGCTTTTGAAATGAAAAACATATTAGGAAGTCATTGCTGTTTACAATTAAACATAAATGGAACAGAAAATCTTTATAGAACAGTATTGCTTTACACCTGGGAACAAACAAGAAACCAGTGCAGCCAATATGTGGTTTGTTTACCTTGCTTCATTCTGGTGGCCCCCAAATTAGGAATGCAACTAGAAAATTCAACATGAACTATAGAGAAACTTGGCTGTATTATGGATTGTTTAAAAAGTTAATACAACAAAATTTCTGATCATTTGATCATTAGCTTAACCATTTTGGACATGAAAAGTTTCTGCTCATCTCTTGAGGTGATCTAAATCGAGAACAGTGTTTGAAGTTACCTGTTTTACTTATGCATTATATTGAATTTACAGTCGGGTGATTCATTTAAGTCAAGCTTTATATTTTCTGCATATGCATATGAGAGAGCACAAAATCTACTTAAAGTGATATTAAGTGATGCCTTGTCTTGATGTATATTCACTGAAGCTTGGATGTTCCAACAGCTAAAATGTCTAAATCGACTCATAAACACTGAAACTGCATGTGATCATGGCCACAGAAAGCAACCTCATTTCCTTCAGTATGCAAACTTCAGTCAAAAAATAAACTAGAATTTTTGTCTGTTTAAAAATATTTGGTTTAATGTCCTTCAAATTTACTATGATTTATCATATGATTACATAATTAAGGGATTTAATAAATAAGGAAGGGCAAATAGGCTAAGAGACCTCTGTAGACAAGGCCACTTTTCAGACATTAGTTTAGGGTGGGTTTTTTTGACCTATTGAACTAAGATTACACCTGGATATTAAAAAATATTTTTAGTTCAAGAAGAAACTGTATATATGAATATATATAGGTATGTCATTGTGTTTTCAGAAATGGATTCAAGATTCCCTACTTAGAGCAACTTGTGCTTCTTTTTAAATAGTGTGGAAAATGGCCTACTGAGTATCCTGGAAATAACATCTAAGGAGTAGATTAAAAATACTAAAAAGTTTCACACTGAAAACTGACAAGTGAATTTTCACTTCAGTTTGCTGTACCAGGTATCAATTTGACAAGCTGTATTTTTTTTAAAAAGACTTCCAAACAAACTTGGAAATAAAAACCTGTAACGGAAATACTACTGGCAAACCTTATGCTATTTTGGTAGAACTTGAGTGCTGTAATCACATCTAAGGCACATAAAATATGTGACATTTGTAATTCCTCGTGCAGGAAATGCACCGTGGTAACATAGTGTGATGGTTGTATCTTGCCACTGGAGAGATCGTTCCATCTCAAGAGTGTATGAAGCTCTGTGATTTCTTCCTGGCCGGTGGGTAAATAGAGGGCTTCATCTCTTTATAGTATTCAGCTCCTCCTTAAATTAAATGCCTGTCCACTGCATAACACCATGAAAACTTTGTTCATGGAAAAACAGTTATAAGCAGCATTTATCTCATTAAGAATTAATTAATGCTATGACCATGTTAATGTTGAACCATTTCTTTATGAATGGCTGGCTGCCTGCGATTTGTGTCTTCAGTCAGGTATAGGTTTTAATACAGGTAAATCTGTTACTAGTTTTCTTGAAGTATGCTAAAATTCTATATTTGCACGCACTGTTTCTCAGAGAAAATGTAGCATGAAACTTGGCACTGGTTTAAAAAATTGAGAGGCTTTTTCAGAATATCATATTTTCATCAATGAAAATTAAATAGGAGACAAAGAGTCATTAATTATGCACTGAATTTTAACTTGTGAATGATGAGAGACAGGTTGCAAACAGGACTACTTAATGCAAATATTGGCAAGTTTACTGATATCTGCATAACTTTTTCAACATAAGTGCCACACATGTAGTGCATGGTTTTATTGAGAACTATGATGCCAATCACCAAATCAGACTGTCATGCAAGTAGGCCATATGTTGTTTTTCTTTCTTGAGCAATAGTTCATCAGGTTTGTTTTCCATGAAACTGTGAACGTATCACAGAAGTTACTGAGCGCAGTCCAGTATTGCATGTATTTTTGTACTTACACTACTTTTAGGACTTTGTAAAATTGTCCTTGTAATGGTTTCAAATGGTTTCTCTGCTTTTGCTTGCTTCTGTTTTATAGCATGTTGCTTGTTGCATTTTTCCAACTGTGTATTTCTGAAAAGATTGGGCGAGAGAGTTCCATTTTTAGTATGTGGAGTTGCCTTTACTTACAGTTAATGAGACTGGAGAACAGAGAGCAGCTAGGAGATTCAGAGGGAATTTCAGCAATTCCTTAGTAGCTTTTGAAAAGCATAAAAAATACTTTAGCCTTAATGCAAAAATAAGTAACGCTGCTTTTCTCACGTGAGTATTTAGTAGTCACTGTGCAATTTATCAGTGGCCCATGTTCAGTCCCAGCACCAACTTAGATTTGATTTGCATATTGTTTAAGGAAGATGTATTTGGTTATGAAGTGGAAATGTATTCCCCATGCATTGCCTTAGTTTTTAATGCAAAGATTTTAAACAGAACTGTCACTGATGGGAGGAATAAGGGTTATTTCCTCTTTCCAGCATCAGCTCTGATGTGATCAGGAAGAAATTTTAGTTGCTAAAACTGTCCCCTTCCGGTTCCATGACAGCCACAAACTATTCCCAATGCATCCTTTTTCTCTGTCAGGGGCTATAGGGAGAGAGTCACAGGAGATGACTCTGAGCCCTGTGCTTACTGGGATCTTGTTTACACCAGTTGCATTGCTGGAGGATTTCAGTTGCATTCAGTGCTGTGATAAGAACCGATCAAAACCCTGGGCCTTTCTGAAAGTATCTTTTGCCATGGGACTGGAAAAATACTGG